TTTCTAAAAGAAATGCTTTAAAAGAAGAAAGGAATTTTGTTTTGGATTTTTGATTTTATTTTTGAAAGAAAAACTTCTGAAAATTCCTTTTGTTTGATTTGAACTTTGGGAATTTCAAAAGTAAAAAGAAAATCTTTTTGTTTGAATTTTCATTTGATTTCTCTTTTTTCTAAGGAAAAAAGAAAATATTTTTGGATTTTGGATGGAAACAAGTATTTTGCATTTTGATTTTTATTGATTTTTCTTTTTTCGTATGAAAGACATTAGAAAGAAAGAAAATATTTTTAAGTTTAAGAAAACTTCTTTTTTTTTTTTGAATTTTCTAAGGAAAGATTTCTAAAGAAAGAACTAAAAAAAAATATTTTTGGATTTTTTTGAAAATGGGGTCGGAACCGATGAGGTTTGCCTACGTATCTCACATCCGGTGAGAATCAGACCCGCGTAGTTCGGTCAAATGTGCCAAAATCAAAACTATTTTGAACAACAATTTTCTACCTATTTCGGCAGCATTTCGGTACTATTTTGACATTGGGTTTTCGCAACAAAAGGTTATCCTTATTGAGTCTTACACTGCTATTTTCTCAATTTTCTTTCATTATATACAAGCCGGTCAACATGCAAAGCCAAGCAAATAAATGCGCAAGTAGCACGTAAGATGCATCGGGATGGTCTTTTCATTTCAGGTCACCTGTCCTAGACGGACCCAACCCCTGTGTTGAGTCCCCTAAGTCAAATGCACATGATGCAAACAAACGTTCCTACTAGGGATCCGGCATGAGGTCGAGTTATTCTAGGTTCAAAACCTGGGTATATGTTCTAGACTGTGTACCCGAGCGGACAACTCGAGTCGAGGAGGGGGCTACATACCGGGGACCCGCAAGATCGTCCAGCTTAGTAACTTGTCCGAGCCTCTTTCTTATTTCGGGGTATGACACTAACAGAATAGGGAGTCTCAACCAGTAAGCACATCCCCGGAGGTGAGAAGAGAAGGGTTTCGGCACAGTTTATATACAGTTCAGATAATATCAAAGCGGTAAAGCATTTAGCACATTTAGCAGGAAACATGTAGGAAACTCAGATAAAGCCAAACATAACAATTATTCTAAGCTCGAATTCTTAAACCCTGAACCGAAGTTCTGGGTTTGTTTCCCCAGCAGAGTTGCCAGAGCTGTCACACCTCCTTTTTTACACACATACCCCGAAGGATAAATGTATAAGGGAGTTTTTCCATTTAAAGTGACATCATTCGAAATGGGATTATTTATTTATTTTTAGAGTCACCACTTGGGATAGGATTGGCTTTTGGTGTCCCAAGTCACCGGTTTAACTTGAATCCCAAATCGAGGAAAATTTCGACTTCCTAGTTGGAGTCTGCTAACCAGAAATTCTGAATAAGGAATTCTGTTGACCCGAGGGAAGGTGTTAGGCACCCCCGGATCCCGTGGTTCTAGCACGGTCGCTTAAATTATTATAATCGGCTATAATTCTGATTTTAATACATGTTTTAACTTATGTGCTTTTTAACTTTAAACCGCTTTTATTATTGTTTTTTAAGAGAATTGCAACGTCGTGAAAAACGCATCTCGAACCACGTCACATAAATGCACCCGCGGTTTTTGACACATTTCGACTTCGTTGGGATTTGGAGTTGGGTCACATAAATGTGCACCTGTATTTAGGAAGGTAGAATTATTAAAAGCGCGCCTAAAGCGACTAACGTCTTTCCAACTTTGTGGGAGGCCGTGGAATTCGCTAAACGGCACGCCCCAGGTTCTAAGTATTTTTAATATAGACAATTACTGAGGGCCCCGCAATTTATGGGTTTTGTTTGGCGAGGCTCGTCTCATTTTTAATTAAAGGCCAACCTAAAGTAACTACGATTTTCTATTTATTATTTGTCTCTAAAAGGGTTAATTAATTTACATTTATAAATTCAAGCTTCAAATTCAAGTCCGAATTCAAACAAAAAGAAGGACCCTTTTAATTTGAACCCGCCACCTAATTTGAAACCCAAATTTATATTTGCAAATTAATCCCCATTCCTAATACAATTTTAATAAAAGAGTTTTTGACTTTTAGCAATTTTTTTTAGGCTTACAAATTGGCCCTATATAGGCAGACGGAAGTACAGCTTTTGAAATTGCCCAGCTTTGGGCTTCTTGTGGTGACGTTGGGCCCAGATTTGTGTTATTTTTATTTCTTACAGCCTTGGCCTGAATGGGCTGCCCAGGCCTTTAACTAAAATGACTTAAAGGACAATTGGGCCTCAGCGTGAGGCTCATTCACAAGAAATCAAATTATAATTAAAAGATACCAATTCAACAAATAATGGGCCAATCTTTTCACTACTGGACTGGATTCTGATTTTAACGCAAAGCAAGTATTACCGGAAATTGCTGATTTGAGTTCTTTGATTCTAATTGGCCTCGAATTAATAGTCTATTGAACAATTTATCATTGAACTTACTGAACTTTTGAACAAATGGAACTTAAATAATCATTCTCAAATAAATCGAACCTATTATCACTATCTAACTTCTGAAATTCAAAACAGTCTATAACAGGCTGAAGCTGTCCAAAACAATTCCAATCTCAGTGACAAAACGAAATCTAATTGAACATGATACTACACTAACCTACAATACCATCGAATAAATACTTCAAATCAATAGTCTCAGCAGTCCCAATCACACAATTTAAACTTATGTACCTAGCATCAAAATTAAAACCTACACTAACAAGTAAATCTATCATCACAATCTAAACAGACACAGTCTTCAAGAGCAAATGAAGGAGCAGTTTCATTGGATATGTACTCCGAATCAGCACCAATACAACAGGATAGGAGTTAATACCTGGAATTATGGCAAAATGAAAGGAGAAGGAGAATCAGTAGCAAATAGCAAAGCAGCAAACGTAAACCAGCAGCAACACAGCAGCAGAATCGATTGAAACCCGAGACTGAGACATGATATGATAGGCGTGAACAAGACTGAGTACAGAATATCAATGAATCTAATGATATGACAGCAAGAAACGACCTCTCAGGTCTCAACAGTATCGGCATGAAGCCCTAACATAGTAATTAGCATGATTTATAGCTCATTAACTTAATCACATAATCACTACACAAATATTAGCAAGAAAGAATCACTAAGCGGTGTCATGGAATGATCCAGGCCGCAATTCTCACGGTGCACGCCCACACGCTCGTCACCTGGCATTTGCGTCACCTCAATATTTAATCATAGAACACATAGTTTGGGGTTTCGAACCCTCAGAACCAAGTTTGGAAGCGTTACTTACCTCAAACCAAGCCAAAACTCTAGCCCGCGACGCCCTTGCCTCTCGATTCGGCCTCCAAATGCTTCGAATCTAACCAAAATCAGTATATTATGATCAATACACGCTAAAGGAATGAACCACACGAAAATTATCAAATTAGACCAAAAATCCCGAATTTGGCTCAAACCCGGCCCGTAGGCCCACGTCTCGGAATCTGACAAAAATTACAAAACTAGAAACTCCTTTCACCCCCGAGTCTATACATACCAAAAGCATCAAAATCGGACCTCAAATGGTCCCTCAAACCCTCAACCAAAACTCTCAAAAACTTAAGCTCTAACTTCTTCATTTCTCTCCAAATTCCCACTAAATTCCATGATTAAACAATCGAAAAATCATCACAAACACAATTAACAAAGCCCAAGTAGCTTACCTCACTGATACACCTCGATTCCCTCTTGAAATCACTGCTTTGAGCTCCAAACTCGTCCATAAATGGTGAAAAATAGGCAGAAATTCGCGAAGGGAACCTTTTATACCTTCTGCCCAGTGTTTTCCGCATCTGCGGCCACCATGTCGCTTCTGCGATGCCGCTTCTGCGGTCAAACCAACCGCATCTGCGGTTTTCACTTAACCGCCCTTATCCGCATCTGTGTCCAAATACCCACACCTGCGGTCACGCAGGTGCTTTCCTCACTCCGCACCTGCAGCTCCTGGCTTCCTTGGCCTTGGCCGCTTCTGCAGATGCTCTACCACTTCTGCAAACCTCGCACCTGCGGTCCCCACTCTGCAGGTGCGGTTATGACAGCTGAAGGAAATCTTCAGCACTTCCTCAAATCCCATCCCTGATCCGTCCACCTTCCAAAATCAACCCGAGGCCCTCGGGACCTCAACCCAACATGCCAACAAGTCACATATCACCATTCAAACTTATTTAAACCTTCGGAATGCTCACAACAACATCAAAACATCAAATCACCCTCGGATTCAAACCTAAGGATTNGTGGTTTGGGCTAGGGTTTGGTCAGGATTGGACGGGGGGGTCGTTTGGGCCAAGTCCAAATTTTGGCCCAATTTTATTGAAACCCTTCTCTTCCTTTTTTTTTTCAATCCACTAGGCAATGCCTAGGGCTAGTTTTATTATATATATAAAAAAAAAAAAAACAAAGTATCATGAATTCCTAACAAACGTATGAAATAGAACTTGGACATTACATAAATCCTATTATCAAAATTGAGCATTATACTCAAATTTGACATCACAAAAATTCTACTCAAATATGCATAAAAACTAGCCCATAATAGATATGATATCTCCAATGTGGCCCAATTTATTTGTGAACTCGTGTGACCCAAGTCAGCTGGCCCAATTTGAATGAAAATTGCAGCAGCCCAAATCGGTGACTCTTGTGAATTGCCGAAATAGCCATAGCCTGTTGTCATAGCTCCCAACTCCTCAAATTGCAATTTTAGCCACATTGCTTGCATCCTTGCCCACTGCATAGCAGCCCAGTCCAGCGCTGCAACCACTGGCCCAACCATGTTGTCCTGTCCGCTTCCAGCATCCCAATCAAAGTCCAATTTGCATTTCATATACCTCCAGTCCAAGAGCTTATATTTGATAAAATAGCCACAATTCATCAACTGCCTGAATGGCCACTTCAGTTTTATCCATGGCCCTCTTATGTCTATTTGCAGATATAACCACGTATTCCTTAGCCCAAGTTTTTTCGCCCAGTTTTTGTCGCCCAGTTCCGAACTTCCGCAGCCCAGCCCAACGTCACATTTGAATTGCATATGTAGCCACAATTAATTCCACATTCCCCTGTCCTATATTGCACTTGTAACCATTTTGATTTCTTCCTATTCTTTGTACACGTGTTGCCTTGCACTTCACCATTTATATTCCACTTTATTACACTGTATCTTTCATTTACACTCCATTTCTCCGTTGGTTTATATCTATAGCTCACATAGAGTGTAACGAAACCCCAGATTAACTCTTCACCTTTCATCCTTGTCCTTCTTCCTGTGTTATCTTCTCCAATTTGTTTGTGAATAGAGTCCCTTGCTTGTATCCTCGTGATTTTACCTGAGTAGAGCCCTTGCCTGGAAGTGTTGCAATTTCTATATGCCTGAAGATGGCCCCTCCTGCCTACTATCTCTGCCTTGAAGGAGATGGATTGCAGAGCTCCATGGGTGATGCCTTGATTCAGAATATTGCACAGTGTTGCTCTATTTGGGCTGCATTTGAATCTTGCCCCTTTACTGCACCTGACGATTTTTCCTTTTTTATCATTGTAAGCCTGACTCCCTGTATGTAATTCCTTTAATTCCCCCTTGTATTCGTTGCATATGTTACTCAGTTGCATCATCCAGCTGAAAGATTCCCTGCAAATGGGAATTTTGCTGTCTGCAACATGTGTGGCATAAAGCCACCAGATCTTAGCTTGCTTATTTGTTGCTTCTAATATTAGTATGCTTCTTCTGTGTTTTTCTCCTTTTTTATGTGATAATTTGCAATTCTTAGCATGTATTAGGATGCTAGAAATGAAATGTAGCACCCTTATCAGCCTCACACTTGATGCTTTCATGACCTTGTATAGCTCATTCTTTAAGATATAATCTGTGGCCATCCTAGATACTATACTATACTCTACAATTAATTCCTCCCCGGTGGGCTGAGTACTTAGTACTAATACCACAACCTGAGGATTCCTTAATATATAGAATATAGATAGCATAGCTGTACCTGCAAAAAAGAAAAAATTATTAGTAAAAAATTGATCTTTCATGCTCTCCCCTTTATAGGTTTGAGCATGATAGATATCAAAAGTGGCTCCAGTTTTCCTTTCTCCTGCATCTTCCATGCCTTCACCTATTTCCTTGCAACCTTGATTCTTAAATATGGGCATTGCATCTTGTCCTCATTAACTATCCTTCTACCTTGAACATCTAAGTCCCAGAAATCATAGCACTCAATGTCTCCCACATCTAAGGCATAATTTGCTAGATGATCTGCCAAGGAATTACCCTCCCTGTATATGTGAGATATTCTGAAATTATATTCCCCTTTCACTCTTAGTATCTCTTCTACTTGCTCAATAATGCACCAGGGAGGCTTCCAATCTTCTTCAGTTATGTTTTTCAAGAGCATTGAATCAGTTTGCAGCCATTACCTATTAAGATTCATTATTCTGCACTTTCTCAAAGCCTCCACAATTGCTGTAGCTTCAGCTTCATTGTTTGTTCCCTCTTTGATCTCTTTCCCTTGTGCATATATTAAGTCCCCTGCTTCATTTCTTATGCAAAAACCTATAGAACTTCTCCCTGGATTTCCTCTGCATGCTCCATCAGTGTTGATCTTTATACATCCAACTTCAGGAAACTCCCATAATACCTTCTCATACTTCAAGGTTGGGGTATAATGTTCCATCATGTACAAAAGGTTAGACCACCTGTGAGGGATCTTTAAGCCTGGTTTCCTTAATTGTACCAGGTTTTGTATTGTGGTAGAAACCTGATAGATCACCCTACTCACTGACACTGCTTCTCCATACTTCAAACTGTTCCTTCTTTTCCACAACTCCCACACAATACAAGCAGGTAAAGCCTGCAGTATTGTCTTCAATCTAGTAACAACTTGTGCAGTCCAGCATTTTGTAATGGCCTGGTGAAATGTCAGATCTTGAACTGCAATTCCTGCTCTTGGTAAGAAATATCTCCATACTGTTTCAGCAGCCTTTGATGTAAAAAATAAGTGTACAGGAGATTCCTCCTTAGGTGCAACACAACACCAGCATTTAGATGGCATAAAGTACCCAAGCCTTCTCATAAAATCATCCAGGGGTAATTTAGTCTTCCAAACTTTCCACATAAAGAAAGAAATTTTAAAAGGCAGCCCTTTCACCCAAATCATCTTATAGGCTACCCTAGGATCTTCTCTTCTTCTCAAATATTCCCATGCTGTCTTCACAGAGAAATTGCCTTTAGATTCAAGCATCCAAAATGGAGTATCAAGGACATTCTGCTGGGAGGGAAGAGGAATCTTCTCTATAATATGCATAGCTAAATCTTCTGGAAGAATCTGCAGTAGCCTATTAGTATCCCATGCTCCATTGATCACTAAATCACTCACATTGATTATATCTTCATCAATACCAAAGTTCTGTGGTACTAGAAAATAAAGAGCTCCCAACCCAGTCCAATTATCATACCAAAACATAAAGGATCCCATTCTCACCTTCCAAATGATCTGATGTTCTATTAAGTCTCTGCATTCAAGCATTTTTCTCCATACTTGAGATCCTTCCCTCCATGGCACAATTACTGCATTAAGTTTCTTGCAGTACTTCTGACACATAAATGAACTCCATAGACTTGGCTTAGTCCTAAAATTCCACCACAATTTGCAAAAGAGAGCTTTAGACACATCATGTAGTGACCTGAATCCTATTCCTCCCTCTTCACATGGCATACATAATGTAGACCATGATGCCCAATGCCTACTTTGACCTCCCACAGCACTACTCCAGAAAAATTGTGCAAAAATCTTGTGTAACCTATTAATCACATAGTTAGGAGGATTTACAGCAGATAGCAAGTGTACAGGCACACTTTGTAATACACTAGAAATCAGTACAGCTCTCCCACCAATAGATAATATCTTTCCTTTCCATGCTTGTAGTTTGTCCATAATCTTTGATATCATAGGTTGGTAATATTCCAATTTTCTCCTTGCATAATATAGGACACCCCAAATATGTGAAGGGAAACTCCTGCCTCTCTATGCCTGTTACCTTTTCAACCTTTCTAACAACCTCTGAGTCAGTTAAGTGATGCATATATACAGCTGATTTAGTTTTGTTAATCAACTGTCCTGAAGCAGCTTCATATAGGTGAAGAATTTCCATTACTAACCTCAAGGAGGTAGCATCTGATGAGCAGAAGATGATGGTATCATCTGCATATGCTAGATGATTAATTTTTGGACTCCACTTGGGCAGTCCAAAGCCACAGAAGTATAGGTTTAGGTGCAGTGAGTTTAGGCCCCTTGAAAGTGCTTCAGCAGCTAGGATAAACAAGGTTGGAGATAAGGGATCTCCTTGTTTAACCCCTCTTGAAGATTTAAAGAAGCCATGAGCTTGACCATTGACCAATACAGAATACCAGTTGTTGCCTACCAAATCAAAGATCATCCCAATGAATCTTTCACAAAAGCCTAATTTCCTTAGCATTTTAGTTAGAAACAGCCATGATACCCTGTCATATGCCTTTGTCATATCTAATTTAATCACCACATTTGGCCCAGCTTTAGTTCTGAGCCTAATATCTGTTATAATCTCCTGTGTTAACAATACATTCTCCACTATACTCCTCCTCTTCACAAATCCTGCTTGTTCTTCTGAAATTATACCAGGCAATAATTCTACCAATCTTTCATGAATAACTCTTGAGAAAATCTTGTTAATGAAGTTACTTAAGCTGATTGGCCTCAGGTCAGAGAATGTGGTGATCTCTTTCTTTTTTGGTAAAAGGACCAGGTTTGTATGAGTAACACATTTTGGTAACTGCTGGCCATTAAAAAATGCTACCACCATTGCATAAATATCCTCTCCCACAATATCCCAACATGTTTGATAAAAGGCACCTGTGTATCCATCAGGTCCACTTGTTGATTCCCCGTTCAAGCCATACACTGCATTTTTAACTTCATCTCTTGTTGGGATTGCTATCAGTTTGTCATTTTGTTCATTCTCTATTAATGTAGGTACATGCTCCATGATGTGAAACACTGTTGGAACAACTGATTCTGTGAATTGTTCCCTATAAAAATTAACTGCCTCTTCTGCAATTTTTTCATCTTCTTCTAACCAGCAACCATTACAGTCCTTGATCCTCTTTAATTGTAACCTTTTCCTTCTTCCTCTGACTTGGGAATGAAAGAATTTGGTGTTTCTATCACCATCTTTGAACCATGACATTCCTGCCTTTTGCTTCCAGAACTCTTCCTCCAATGCTAAATATTTCATCATTTCTGCCTGCACCTTCTTTAACCTTTCTCTATTCAACTGAGTGGGGTATGCCTCAAAGTGTCTTTCATGTACAAGTACCACTTCTTCTAAGCTAGCAATCTTCTGAAAAATATCACCATATGTTGTTCTGCTCCATGTTGATAAAACCTTCTTCAGCTTCTTAAGTTTGTGGTTGAACAACACAAATGGATTTGCACAAAAATCTGTTGTCCAGTTTTCTTTCACCACTGCTTTAAATGAGTCATGTTTAGTCCAAAAATTCAGAAATCTGAAAGGTTTCTTGATTGGAGGTGTTTCAATATCACATTTTAGCATCATGGGACGGTGATCTGAGCCAGTCTTAGATAGGTGAGTAACCTCCAAACCTGGGAAAATTTCCTGCAGTTCTACATTCCCCAAACACCTGTCAAGTCTTTTAAATATGCAATCATCCTCAGATCTTCCATTCCACCATGTGAAAATGCTCCCTTTGAACCCCAAATCTGACAAGTTACAAGTGTTTACACAGTGCCTAAAGTCATCTATTTCATTCAAAGACACTGGTAATCCTCCATACTTCTCTTCCTCATCCCAAATGACATTAAAGTCACCCCCCACAAGCCATGGAGAGGTCATATCAGATGCCATTGTATATAAAGAATCCCACAGTTCTATTCTCTCTATGTGATCACATTTTGCATAGACCAAATTTAGAATCAGTTCCACATGTGTTTCAGTGTGGAATAATCTCAAAGTCAGCTGCTGCACCATGTTATACATTATGTCTACTTCATCAATAAATGCCCATATTTTGTTTGACACATTCACTACTGCTTGAGCAAGCCATATCCTTCTTCTATATCCTTCCACCTTGTTAGACCTATAAATTCAAAATGATGCTGTCTATGCATAAGAATCAGTCTTTCAAATGCCTGCATAGTATTTAGAGACCTGACATTCCATATGATTGCATCCATCAGTGGTTAAGAGATTTGGACAGGGTTCTTCTTGTTTGAACTCCACCTGTTGGAGCATTTTGATTGTCTTTCTGTTGCTTCTTTTTTCCTTTGGCTGCAGATTTGACTTGGTCAATTTGTCTGGGGGATAGATCTCCTTGCTTGGCAATGTTTAGAAAATTTTGAGCTGTAAATTCTTCATCCATATCCTTGCCTGCACCTTCTTCCCCTTTATCACCTGCAGTATCTACCACCTTCACTGGCATTACTGTTTTCTCACTGATAATTTGAGGTGCTAAAGTGACTTCTGTTTCATCATGTCTCTGTTGAACCTGGTTTGGAATAACATCTGTAGTGTCTGCATGTTTTGACCTTTTAATATGATCCTCAAATTTTCTTTGATCTGTTCCCCCTGGATCAATATTGTTAACATCCATCTCCTTAGTAATCACACCTACATCCACATTATCAGTAATGTTGTTCCCTTCCTCACTGTTCTTCTTCTGAACATTTCCTTCTTCTGGTGAAATAATCCTGACTTGCTCTTCTGAATTTTTGGTGTCTTTAGCCTTGCCATTTACACTTTGATCCCCTTCATCCATTTTGTCTCCCCCAGTTTCTTCCTCACTTGGTAATGCCTCAGGAATATCTCCTTCCCCTGTATCTTCCTCTATTTGTTCAGACCACAATTTGCCTCCCTTCCATTTTGTTTTTTCCATCCTTTGAAAGATTTCAAATTCTGCATCAACTATGTTCTCATTTTCCTTCTCCTTTGTAAGTGCCAAATCCACTCTAGTATCCTGTGAAGGAACATCTTGAACTGATGTATTTGTTGCCACAATATTGCTAGTAAAGGCCCTTTGAACCCATGCTGCAGTAGACTCTTGGATCTGCTGCTCATAAATTTTCTGCTCCTTAGTCTTTGATTCTTCTCTTTGTCTTGGACTGTTCACCCTTGTTGGTGTAACACTAGTAGCTGGTGCATTCTGCTTATTCTTCCTTCCTTCATTCTTGCCTTTGTCAGAACCAGGAGTAGTAGGTTTAAACACTGGTGCTGCAGGATTTAACTTGCCATCAGTCTTTGTATTAGGTATCACACTTTGAGGATCATGATTCTCCACCAAAGCCAACTGATTATTGGCATTGTCTTCACTATTGTCCACCTCTAATATTTCAAACATGTTATTGATCTTCACTTGCTGAGAATCTACTGCATTTTGTTTTTCAACAGGTACTAATTCCTTACCAGACTTAGTTTTATCCATTAGCTGCTTTTATGTGTTTTTACCTCTTCTATCCCTGACTTCTTTCCACTGAGTACCTACATTCCCAACAACCTTTCCACTTGTTAATATCATCAAAGGAGCATTCTCCTTATTTTCATGCACCTTAACATCTGCAACAGACTGCTTCTCCCCTCTCCTGTTAGCCATAAGCTCTGGATGCAGCTTCCAACATTCCATTAAATCATGCCCTTGTAACTTACATTCCTTGCAATATTTAGGAAGATAATCATACTTGATATTCACCCATTCCGTCCTTATATCCCCAGTACTCTCATTTAGTATATCCATCCTAACTTTCTTAGGAAGATCATCCAACAAATCAACTAGCACTTTCACACGAGCACAACTAGGTCGTGTCTTGTTTACAGTAGCTTGATCAAGATGCTGTGGTACGCCAACAGCTGAAGCTAATGAAAATAGACACTCCTTAACAAAATAAGTAGGCAATAAGTTTGGGAATGAAATCCAAGCCATTACCTTTGGTGTCTCTTCTTCAACTTTGAACTTAGAATCATAAATCAAAGTACGCAACTGAAACTCTTCCCCATATTTGTCCTTAATATAATACACTCCTTTGGATGAGAAATTAACATAATCTTGCCATAATGTGAACCTTATTAATACATGTCTATCCCTCAAGTATCCAATGTTACACTCACCCTTGATACCACATTGCATTGGTATTATACGACGTAGTTCTGTGATTTCAGGCCATCCATACGAGAAATTGCATACTACTGCATACTTCAATCCCTCAATAATGTTCATACGTTCTACCTCTGATTCAGTAAAGCACACAAGAGGTTGACCTTGAAAAAACTTTGCTCGTCTAGGCACTATAGGCTCGACATTCACTGCATGATCATGCATGGAACTTTTATCCATCGTTGGGTTAACTGCCTTAGCATAATTCATGGTTTGTTGATCGTTTGTATTAGTTGTAGGCTGGGAGTTGTTAATATTGGTTGTAGGGGGCTGGGCAATGGTGGGAGGGGGCTGACCAGCCGGAAAAGTTGGCTGGCCGCCGGCCGTCGTGGCCATTAACGCTAAAAATCGACTTTCTCTCTCTAGTCGCCCAAAAAATCGCCAGAGCTTCTCTCTCTCTTCTCTTCCTTTTAATTTTCCAATTCCATTCTTTCTTTCCTTTTTTCTATTATTTATTTATTTATTCTATTTATTTTCTTCGTAAAATTAACAAAACCTAAGTTAACTCCCAAACTAATTAATTTCCAAAAAATGAACTAAATCCTAATTTTAAAAGGAAAATTAAGCAAAAGGTGAAATTAAAGAACAAAAAGTAAAAGATTTATTTTTTGTTATTTTTCTCTTATTTTAGTAATATTAATTAACTAGTAAAGCTAAAAATTTAAAATCGAATTCTAAATGCAAATATACTATTTTTTGTACTTTTTTGTGAATTATGACAACTAAAATGCACACGAAAATGCAAACAAGGCACAAAATTATGCAACTAATTCAACTAATAAACAAAAAATCCTAATTCTAAGGGATTTATAGGAGTAATTTAAGCGTAGCAAAAATCACGTGCTCACAGTAGTGACTCCTTCTTGTTTAATTGATGGACTCGATATAATGTGAACAATATGAAGAGGAAAAAAAATATGAATTGTAAACTCCTTGGAGTGTTGGCTCGAAATATGACACGATTAAGACGTAAGAAATGAACGAAAGAGGAAGAGTTGTAATTACTCCCTTGCCGGGACGTGTAAGTTAATGTTGTTGCTCCCTTGTCGGGAGTTAATGGTTTATTTGTATTCTCCCTTGCCGGGATGGTTGAATTGATGCTTGTTCCCTTGCCGGGAAATCCTTATATATTATGAAATGGGATTGTGTGTCACGCCGACCACTTATATATTATGAAATGGGATCGTGTGGCACGCCGATCACTTATATATTATGAAATGGGATCGTGTGGCACGCCGATCACTTATATATTATGAACTGGGATCGTGTGGCATGCCGACCACCTAGATATATGTATTATGAAATAGGATCGTGTGGCACGCCGACCACTTATATCGATTATGAGATCGGATGTGGTTTCGTGTTTACTTCTGATAAATTGTGTTCATCTGTATTTCCCCTAAGCATGTCCCCTCCCTGCCTTAGCTGGTATCTTCTGTTGTTATTTCATTGTACTTGCTTATACATATACACCTGCACAGGTTGTTTTTGGTAGGTCCTATCTAGCCTCGTCACTACTTCGCCGGGGTTAGGCCAGGCACTTACCAGCACATGGGGTCGGTTGTGCTGATGCTACACTCTGTGCATTTTTGCACAGGTCCAGGTATTGAGCAGCAGCATTAGCACGGGGGCGAACCTTCAGTCCAGAGAGACCCGAGGTAGCTTGTAGGCGTCCGCAGGCCCGGCGTCTCCCGTCTATCTTTACATTTGGCTGTCATCTCATTGTACCCGAGATAAACAGATTATGTTTCTTTCATACTTTGTATGTAGTACTCCTTAGATGTTCGTGAGTATGTGACTCCAGTCCCGGGGTAGAGATATATGTGTTGGAACTTCTGTATTATTGATCATCTATCTACATTTAAGTCTTCCGCTTATGATTTTAATTTCGTCGCCTTTATTTAATGTTGTTAATTGTTAAAAAGGAATAGGTATTTAATGAAAATGCTAATTAAGTTGGCTTGCCTAGCTCTCATTAGTAGGCGCCATCACGACTCCCGAGGGTGGGAAATCCGGGTCGTGACAATTTGTGAGGGCGTTACTAACTATACTCCGATTAATGATATTGTTACACTCATGAATTAAGTTGAAAATTAATTAAATTAAAATATTATCTAAAATAAAATATTAATGAGTAGTTTTGAGAGCGGATGAAGCTGCGAACTTTCCTTCTGATTATTATTAACCTTCAGCCTGATCAACACGCTGATATTCATACAGCATTGTGCATATATCCTCATGCTTGGAAGTCTGAACCTCAAGTTGTTTGTTTCTATCTTGTTTATAAAGATCTTGTTTGTCTTTGTACTTTTACAAAAACAAATGCTTTAAAAAACTGAAAAAAATGAAAAAAAAAAATTTTTTGTAAAAACTGAATTGTTTTTTATAAAAACTAAAAAAAAAAAAAAAAGAAGACTTTTCTAAATTAGTGGACTACTGGTGTATTAGTTTTAAAAATGAAAATATTTTGTAAAATATTTTTTTTAAGTTTTACAAAAAGAATAATAATTATTTTTAATTCAGTATTGACCTAATGGTCAAAGGGCATAAGTGAACCACAAAGGTGGATGGAGGGATATTTTTAGCCCAATGAATGAATGAAGGATATTTTTAAACCTTTTCTAATAATTTAGGGGCATTTTGAATCATTTTTCGTTATTATTAACCTTCAACCTGATCAACACGCCGATATTCATACATCATTGTGCATATATCCTCATGCTTGGAAGTTTGAACCTCAAGTTGATTGTTTTTATCTTGTATAAAAAGATCTTGTTTGTCTTTGTACCTTTCCATACTACTCCTGCATGAAATAAACCAAAAGGCTCGAGTTTTCATGAGATACAAACGTAAATTAAAAGGCCTTTCAACTCCAGGCTTTGAGATTAATATATATGTCCATTCTCCGAGGCAAATACAGAGCCGCAAACCCCTCAAGCACTGAAGAGCCACATCATTCCCCAGCCATAGCTGATGATTAGCTTCTCCACCAAGTAATTAATAGGCGCGAAGGAATGAAGCGAAACACAA